TTCGGCTGGGATAGAGTTAATTTTCCTCCTAGTAGCAGGCAGTAGCAGTAGCAGTGCTGTGTTTTGGATTTAGTAGGAGAAGAATGTTGATAACACACTGATGTTTTAGTTGTTGCTAAGTACTGCTTATGATAGTCAAGGACTTTTCAGCTTCCCATGCTCTGCCAGGTGCACAAGAAACTGGGAGGGGGCACAGCCAGAATAGTTGATGCCAACGGGCCAAAGAAGGGCTATTCCATACCATATGACGTCATGCTCAGTATATAAACTGGGGGGGGTTGGCCAGGGAGCAGCGATCGCTGCTCGGACACTGTCTGGGTATCGGTCGGCAGGTGGTGAGCAACTGTATTGTGCATCACTTGCTTTGTATATTATTACTGTTATTATTATATTGTTATTATTTTCATTACTGTTTTACTTTATTTCAATTATTAAACTGTTCTTATCTCAACCCAGGAGTGTTTCTCACTCTTACTCCTCCGATTCTCTCCCCCATCCCACCGGGGCAGGGGGAGTGAGCGAGCGGCTGCATGGTGCTTAGTTGCTGGCTGGGGTTAAACCACGACAGGACCTCAGGCCGTAGTGGAGGCCAGCTGGGGGCTGATTTTCTGTTTTTCTTCCTGTTTTCCTGGAGGACGAGTGTCCCTTTGCCCCAGCTGAGCAGGGTCCCCTCCCCCTCCTGAAGAACTAGGGGCTCTGCTCTGTCCTAGCATGCTTCTTTTTTCCTCCAGAAACACAAGAAAGGGGGATCGAAAGCACCAACGGAGGGACTTTGCAGTTAGCAGCTTCAGGGTAAGGGACTCAAGACAAGGTGCTGCAGGTCAGAGGAGGCGTGGCTGCGATGCATGTGGAGCCTGGCAGCAGGCTTAGCACTGCCGACGTTGCATTGCGCTTGGAGTGCTGTTGCGACGTTGGTGCTTTGCCCATCACTACTTAAAATTTTCTTGCCTCTGTATGCAAGGTGTTTACAAAGCCAAAGGCGCTGGTAGTTTGGCTGTCTTGAAGTACTCTAGAACCCAAGTTCAGTGCATCAAATGCGTGGCCTGCAGGTTGAGAATCTGATTAGGGTGACTGTGCACTGTCCCCGTTTCGAAACTGTCACTCATTACAGTGATAGTTTTTTGTAGCGTAAGTTTATTGGGGAGAACAATCAATTACGTTGCCCCAGCTATTCATGCACCCCAGTCTTAGTATTTTGTGCCTTTTGAAGTTTCTGGGCAGGCAGAACTTTATAAAAAAATTATTTTAGCTGTGTTTCTTCACACAGCAATTAGGTAGTGGTTGTTGGGGTTTTTTAAATCCTTTCGCTGGCTGCCATAGGGTGGTGTTTGCAATAGCAGTTTTCCTGTACTAATTCAAACAGTGTATTGGCCTGAAGCATTTGCTGTTGAGCACCTTGTCTTTCTTTTACCTGAGGAGTGTTAATTCAGATTTAAATATGTTAATATGCATCAGGTACTTAAAGTAATTGCATTTAAGCTACTGGCTTATATACTGAGCATTGCTTAGGCTTATTCTGAGACATCTTACACCTCCTCCCAGCAGCTTGGAGCTTTCCGATTGCATTTTCTAGTTTCAGAATATTTATTAAAGGTACAAGGATCTGACTGAGGATGAGTGTTCCTTTGGAATTGGTGAATTTTACTTCTTTATAAGGACAAGTAATTTCAGGTTCCTGTGCGCTTTCAACGGCTGCCTTTGGGATTGAGAGAACGGGACTTGACTGGTATGTTTGTTGCCATCTGTGTTCACTGTGAAAGTATTCTCCAAAGGGGGGTTGCAATATAGAAAAGAACTATCTACTGTTATCTTCAAATAGCGTAGCATTTTGTTATTCTACAGTGTGAACTACAAGTAAGAGAGGTCAGGCTTTTAATTAAGTGTTTGTATAAATGTTAATTCCATGTATCACTATTTCCACAGCTCTGAAGAGATTGCTTTCTAGTTAAAGATGGCTGCTGATACCTCTGTTGAAATACTTCAGAAAGTTCTGGAGAATGAAATACTTCAGACTACCAAGGTTGTGGAAGAACATCTGGATGCCGAAATTCAGAAGCTGGACCAAATGGATGAAGATGAATTGGAATGCCTTAAACAAAGGCGGCTTGAGGCACTGAAAAAGGCCCAGCAGCAGAAACAAGTAATTCCTATAGTAATATAGACTCTTGATCTGTACAGTGTAACAGACTTTTTGGAAATCCTAGGGAAATTGTATATATGAACTAAGTGTTTCGGGGTTGTTTGTGTTTTTGGAGTTTTTTCACCCCCTTCTTCCTCACCTTTCTGTACTTATTAATTTTAAATTATCCAGGAAAGCAACTGTCTGTCTGTGTGTGCATGCTTTGTGTTTTTTAACAGGAGGAGAGAAGAACCTCCGTGATTGTTTACAATAAGGATAGGATAAAGAGTCTTGTACAAAGATTTGAGTGTGTCTGTATACACTGAACATTGCTATCTGGAAACATAAGCCTTGTAGGCAACCTAATCATAAGCCTTTAGACTCCTTTAAGCTTCTGAATTCTGGAGATTGTTAGTTATGGCATGTACATGATGCACGCTCTTCTCTCAAGTTATTTTGTAGAAGAACGGTACAGGGTCTTTCCTTGTCCCTCTGGTGGAATCATTTGTCCCACTCCTTCTAACCCAATGAATTGTTGTCTTTGTATGAGACCTCACCTGGAGTACTGTGTCCAGCTCTGGAGCCCTCAGCGCAAGAAGGACATGGAACTGTTGGAGCGGGTCCAGAAGAGGGCCACAAAAATGATCCAAGGGCTGGAGCACCTCTCCTATGAGGCCAGGCTGAGAGAGTTGAGGTTGTTCAGCCTGGAGAAGAGAAGGCTGCGGGGAGACCTTATTGCGGCCTTCCAGTACTTAAAGGGGGCCTATAGGAAGGAAGGGGACAATCTTTTTAGCAAGGCAAGGAATAACGGATTTAAACTAAAGAAGAATAGATTTAGACTAGACATAAGAAGGAAATTTTTTACAGTGAGGGTGGTCAAGCACTGGAACAGGTTGCCCAGAGAGGTAGTGGAGGCCCCATCCCTAGAGACATGCAAGGTCAGGCTGGACGGGGCTCTGAGCAACCTGATCTGGTTAAAGCTGTCCCTGCTCACTGCAGGGGGGTTGGGCTGGATGATCTCTAAAGGTCCCTTCCAACCCAAAGCATTCTGTGATTCTATGGCTGCTCATTTCTTCTTGCAGGAAAGAAATTCTGCTTTGGTCTGATACCTCATGCTAAATTGTGGTCTTTATGCTCCCCAGAAAGTCTCTTTGAACTTAGTTCTTACCAAAATTTTGGTAACATACAGTGCGAGACCTGAGTTGTAAATAAGGAAGCCATAGGTCTCTTAGCTTACTCCATCTAAGCAGACCTAAACAAAGAAATAGACTGGGTTGGGGGAGAGGTGGCTGGGTTGAAAGGATATGGCTCTGGCTGTGGTGGAACCCACAAAAGCTAATGCCGTGTTTTGAAATGGGAATGCAGTAAAATGTCATGGTATGGTTGGGGTGCTGGAGAACAGGCAGTGTTAGCAGCTTTGATTCTCTAAACGTGGAAGTAGAGAAAGTGGCACACTATTTGCTTGTCTTCAGAAGTTCAGTTTATATTTGATTCTAGTGTTTTCCTTTTTCAGAAGTCATAACACTTGGATGTTCTTGGATGTTAACATGTGCTAGTTCTCATGTAAAAACTTGTCCATGTCATTTGATCTTAAGTCACTGTTCTCATGCATTTTCAAATGCAAATTTGAAATAGGATACTACTCAGTAAAGGAGTAAGCTGCTGCAGTATTCTGGAACAGGATTGTGCAGAGGGGAATTAATGCTGTTGAAGGATGTCAGTTCTTGATTTGCATCATGATGACTTCATGTGCTCATACTTCTATGCATTGTTAATGCATATGATGTTCAGGAAATTTTTCGTTCTATCCTAATTTAGCTTGTGGGATGTTTTTGGTTTGTTTGGCAACCTTCCCCACCCCCTGACTCTGCTAAGACAATACTACAAGATCAAGAACAGTGATTTATCTACATTTTTTTTTCCCCAGTGGAAACAAAAGTTTTTTGTCAAGGTCTGTCATACTGCACTACTTCTAATCATTTAGCTTAGTCTGTACTTGTTTTAATATGCTACAATTAACTCTCAGTATTGTAGAAGCTGGTGTTTTTTCTTAAGTGCATTTGTTGAAAATCTAGAAGATTATCTTTTTTGAAACTGTATTTGCATACTTAATCAGGCAGTTTTTGAAGTTGCCTGTAAATTTGAGCTTGTGAAATTCTGTTTCTCCATACATTTTGTGACTAATGGCATGCATGTGTTTTCTGAATGGTTTTCCGGAAGCCTGGCTCGTATTAAGACACCTTCAGTGTATGTTTAGTAACCATCACCTGTTATAGGTGAGTTAGTAGGCTTTTTTCTCGCTGAGTTTTTCACAGAGGGAAAAATTAGAAGAAATCCATTTGATTCAAGTCATGACATGTACTAAGTTTTAGACAAGAGTTCTTTGAGCGTACAAAAACATTTTGGACAGAGTAGCCCAAGCTGTTGATTAGCAGTTTTCAGATGCTGAGAATTTTCTGTCATCGGTGTTCTCTTCAAACTAGTCTAGTCTTACTGAGAGGCTGCGCTGCAGCAATTTATGCAGCTCTGTCCAAGATCTGTATTTCCAAGTAAGTAAGGTAGCTTTACTGCTCAACCACCTATCTGTTGTTGAGAAAGAGGCAACCCAAAAGTATTGTCTAGCCTAGTAGCATTTGCGTATTTTCAAAACAGAACTAAAGGGGGGGAAGTAATTTGTTTCTCCTTCTATTACTGTATGAAATGGGTTTCCACTACAGGCCCCCTCTTATTTTTCTTAAAAGCTGTAGAGCTTGCATGACAGATGCAGGACTAACAAACTCCATACTAATTGTTTCCTTTTATGTTTTCCAAAAGGAGTGGCTTTCAAAAGGACATGGAGAATACAGAGAAATCCCAAGTGAGAGAGACTTTTTCCAAGAAGTCAAAGAAAGTAAAAACGTGGTTTGCCATTTCTACAGAGATACAACTTTCAGGTATAGTAAATAAGCTGTGCTCAAGAAACCATTTGTTTCTAGATGTCTACAAAAACAGACATGTTCTTTTGTTCTTTCAAATCCCACAAATAAATAGGCATTTTTAGAAGTATTAAAATTCCTGCATTTTCCAAATCTCTCTCCCTTCTCAAGACAATTCACACATCCCCTGCCATTCCAGTTAATCTGGATGTGATTGGCAATGATTAATACTCTGTTACATAGTTGATTAGAAGATAAATGTATAACTTCTTTGACAATATTTGAGAGTGCTGTGTTTCATTATTGATTTAGTTTGAGGGAGCCAGGTCTGTAAATGTAGTGAATGTGCAGGAACAGCATTTCAAAAAGACCCCTTTGGTTATTCCAGACAGAGATATTCTGGACAGTTCTGGCAAATGAAAATAAAAATATAAACAAAAACTTGTCTGGGCTTTTTCAGAATTTAACCTCTTATTATGAAAGTATCTGTGGATACCAGTTGCAGCTGCTTTCCCTTTGTGCCTGTGCCTTTGTGGTTACGTCACTTTTTAGGGTGTGAGAGACCTAGATATGAGAATATGTCCTGACTCAGAATAGGAACCTAAAATAAGATCTCCCACTTCCTTGGAAGAACTTCAGAAGTTCTGGGTTGTAGGTTGTTCTCAATGGGTCTGTCTCGATGTCTTCTGTTGAAATGCAGTTGCAGAGTAGTTTGTTGAAGGAGGAGCCAGTTGTCCTTTTTTGGATTGGTTGGTTGCTTGCTTTTTTTTTTTTTAACCCCCAAGGTGTTATGTTCTCTCTAGCTCATAGAGTATAAACTGAGACGGCCTCAATGTGAGAAATTGAAAGAGGTCAAAGCTGGATTATGCAGTGAGGTATCTGTGTCCTACATTTTCTAAGTTAAATGTTGACATTTCAGAAATATCTGAAGCAGTTGTATTTGGCTAGCTTTTACTCAAAGAAACTGAAAGACTGTCTCTGCAAATAAGGTAGCTTAGAACAGGTTTGGGTTGTTTGGTTCTAGTTTCTTGAACCAATAAAGTCCGTAGACTCAGACAGGAGAAAGAACTTTGCGTAAAGTTCTTTGTCTAAAGTTCTTTGTAAAATGTGTCATGCTGACAACCAGCTTGAAGCTAGTGTATCAGGTTTACCAACCACAATATCAAGTTGCTTTCATCCTTGCCCTCTCCAGCTTTTTGATCTGCTTGGCTCTCCTCTTGAGTTAAAGGACAGCCACATCACAGTTCATGCAGATAAGCCAAACCACTTAAAGAAGACAATCCAGAAAGTTGAGACTGCAGGTGACAAGTCCTCAAATCTCTACTATTTGACAAGTATTTTGAGCCGTTCATGTTACTGTCCTTTATCTGAGAAATAATAATTGTATGCTCGCTCCTATTCCATTGCAACAGAAAAGTGAAATATTTTTGCCTATAGCACTACTGAAGCAGTCTCTGCAAATCACTTTTTTTTTCTTTTTTTCTTTTCTTTTCCCCCAGTACAGTGAGTTACTGCATCTCAGTTGTGGAGGTGGTGACTGAAAAAAAACCAAAATGATGTAACCTGCTGAAAGTACTTTTCTGAAGATGTGAAGTTTGTTACAGAGAAATTTTTCCAGCTGATAGGCAGTGAAGCTAGAGCAGGAAGAATAGAAGTCAGAGGGAACTTTCATCAATAAATGCAGGCCTCAAGAAATGAGAGAGGCTTTCAGGTGTATGTGGGAGTAATTAGGAAGAAATAAGAGAAACGGGTGGTGTAATTGTGCAATAATGGTGCTCCAGGGTAGTATTCTAGTAGTCATTAATTCCAGCTACATTTGAAACACAGTTTCTCTTGAAACTGAATTCTTCATTACAAAGGTCATATCTGAGGAATTAATGTGATAGAACTAACTTTACTGTTCCTTTTAAACTTTCTCTAAAATACATGTTCTTTGGCTTATTGATTCTAACACTTTATGTATTTTGGGGTTTTTTTCACAGGTGCCAAATAATGGACAAACACTTGACTCTATTGGCAAAAAAGCATGTTGAGACAAAATTCTTGAAATTAAATGCTGAAAAATCTCCTTTCTTGTGTGAGAGACTGCGCATCAAAGTAATTCCCACTCTAGCACTAGTAAAAGATGGAAAAACACAAGACTATGTTGTGGGCTTTACTGATCTCGGTAACACTGATGACTTTACTACAGAGACCTTAGAATGGAGATTAGGCTGTGCAGATGTAATTAATTACAGGTAATTAATTGGTTTATGATTGTTTTATTTTCAGATACAGTGCAAGGAAAACATGCTTGCAGACAGGAGAATCTTTCAAAGTTTGTAACTTTGGCTGATACGTTGTATGCTTAAGACACACAAGAGTTTAATCCAGTTATTTAATCTGTGTACTTTGGCAAGGGGAAGAAGAGAGTATCTCTTTGGCAAAGTATTGAGACATTATAATGAGTGTTACATTGTCCTTTTTGTACAGTGATAAACAGAGTTCTTGCTGTGGGGTATGTAGAGTAGCTACACTGCTTTGATGTGGCCTGAGTCATGCATCTAATGTAATCCGTTCTAAATCAGCTATAGATGCTTAGATGTCACAGTTGCAATGCAGTAAAGTTTGAACATTTTTAATCCACTTCAGAGAAAACTCAGCAAGTTATCCTTAAACTGCATCTTAGTCCGTATTATGTACATGAATGTGATTTTTTTTCCAATGAACTGTACAGAAAGTGAAAATAAGTTGCAGAAGTGCAAATGAATTATTTGTGTAGCAGTACAATATAATCATCATAAATCCCACATTTAAGACTACAGGATAGAAGGCAGTAGAAGATAACTCTCGCCACAATACCCTAACTTTATAGGAGAATCACCAGAACTTTCTGCTTTGCTTTCTAGTGCAGCTAAAATACCATCTTTACCTTTTTAGGTTAATTTTGCTCTTTTGGTTTGAATGGCTTTTTTTTTTTTTTCTTAATAAATTTCATTATCTGAATTTATTTCAATGTCTAATTTCCAAATTTTGGCAAGAGGTATTGTTGTTAAAGGCAAAGAAACTACTGTTCAATTTAGCTTAGTAGCTAAAGAAGTTGAACTTCAGATTAAATGACTGAAGTGGAAATTTGTAGTTCAAAGCAAGTGATAATACCCACTTCCCAGCTCAATAACAAGCAAAGATGCAGAGGAGTGAAAGGCAGCTTGGGTATATATTCTGGACAGCCACGGCCTTTTATGGGAGAAATCTTTCAGTGGAGTTGTACCAAGCTGCACTGATTTGCTAAATGTTAGTACATTGGCTTATGGCATAATTTTACTTCCTACTTGACTCTACTAGTACTGTGTATCCCGCTCTTAGCTCCTTGCGGAGTCGGGGCGTTGTTTCATTCTTTGTTCATTTTGCCAGAGTCTGAGTTTGGTACCCTGGCTTTGCAAAGTGAGCCACAACATCTGTGCAACCCAGGAGATCCATTCCAGGAGACATCCATTTATGTGCAAGTGTTGCATTTCCACACTGCTCTGAATGCAATGTCCAACTCTCTCAAGTTCCTGAGAAGGAGATAGTCCTCAGAGCCTAGAAACAGTTCTTTTCTTTCAACCTGTGGGACAGCAAATGGTGAAAGGATATACTGTACTTGGGGGGAAAAGCCATTCAGGTCACATTATTTGACCAAAATCAGGATTCAAGTGATGTATTGACTTATTACTGACATGTAATTAACTAACAGTCAGTGAACTCTACATTTAAGATCATTATCAGCAAAATGTTATTTACAAAACATTAATGCCTACAAATTTCTAAACACCCTTCTGTAGCTAGTTCTAGAAGGTTCTAACTGCTTGCTGACTCACTGACACTTAGATGCAAACCCCTCACAGGTCATGTGAGTGAAAGCACACCATTTTCTGAGCAAGGGGATTCCCTTCCTTGTGCACGCCTGCTGTAGGAGATGTGGGTGCTCCAGCTTTACGTGAGCACCTGCTGTTCTCAACTCATGGACCCACACGCTGGTGAGAAAGCTCCCACGGGGTCATACATGCACACTGAGGCATGAGTCTCCCTCCATACTCCCAAAACTGGAATGCAGTGTCTGATGGGGAAGCTGCTCTGGCCTAGGTAGAGATAGTACAAGGTGACTTCTGGCAGTACAAAACCTGGTTTTGATTTTTCTGTTTCTACTCCAAAGTCCCTGTTACAAAATTTTAGCTTCTTTTGTACTTCTGGCTCCTCGTTTGTTTTGAAAAGTCTCTCTGTAGTTCCTTGGTTACTGTTTAATCCGATAGATGGTTGTCTTTAGCATGATCAGTTTGCAGCCAAAGCCCTTTCAGACAGTTTTTGTCTAGAGCTCTGCTCACAGGTGCTGTTTACACTCACACTCCTGTACTAACTAGTTACCCAGGCCATTTTGTCCAGGATGTGCTATGCTAGCAACGCCGCGATGCTACTTAGGGTGGCTTTAGGGAGTAGAGGTTGTGTTCTCTTACAGTGTTTTCCTGGAGAAACAGGTAATTAGAGATGCTACTTACTGTCTGCATGAATATGGCTTTAATCAATATGTCTTACTCTTTTCCTCTAGTGGAAACTTGATGGACCCACCTTTTCAAAGTCAAAAGAAATTTGGAACAAGCTTTACGAAGTTGGATAAGAAGACCATCAGAGGAAAGAAATATGATTCAGATTCTGATGATGACTAGAACAACAACTAAATGTATTTGTAAATCATCTTTTGTTTATGCTTGATACATTTCTAAGAATGTTTTTTATAAAGCTTACTGCTTTTCATTACATCTGCACATAATGCTCATTTTTCTAGACAGTTTTATACAACTGAGTCATAGCAGAAAAAAGCTTAAATATTTTTTTTTTTTCCTCTTTTGGAAGTCATTTGTAGTTCAAAAATCAGAGTCCTTCTAACTAACTAACGTGGCAAATGAACTTTGTCTTAAGTACAAGTTTATGAAGTGTTTTGAAGTAACTGTTAGAAACAGCTGTACCAAGTCAGACCAAAGGTCCCTCTGGCCCAGTGTCCAGTCTCAGTGGCCAAAAGCAGATGCACAAGGAGGAGTAACAGCAGGGTGAGCAGATAGCAATGCTTCCCCAGAATATGCTTTAAGCAATCTGTGGCTTAGGGAACACTGTATCTGAGAGCATTTGCTGGTTAAAATTGTGGAAGAAAAATCTCCTTAAATCCTCAGTGTCCTAGCGTCCACATCATATGGCAAGGAGTCCACAGTTTGTGTTGTGTGAAGAACTAATTCCTATAGTTTTCCTTGAATCTGACAGTTCCAGCTTTTTTTTTCTAATTTTCTTTATTAAAGGAGACGATAGACACTTTTTTAAAAATATTTTTCCCTATCAGCTCCTCTTCCAGTTGTCTCTTTAAATTTATTATTACTTATATTATCAGTAAAGCACCACAAAATGATTAGTAAAGGAATTGTGCATTTTAACAAATGACTGCTTATCTTATGGTGCCATATCATGACATTGAATAACTTAACTACATTGCACTATAAGTTGTAAAAACAGTCGTAACTTCTGTGAATTCTGAAATAGATGGTCAAGAGAAATACCCTTTTACCATCTATGTACGTTGCATGTTAAAGCCGATACAGCAGGTAATAGCACATAGCAACAAGCATATTGAAAACAGCCTTGTTCGCAGGGTTGTATAATTCTGTGGTTTTGAATGTGTGGATTTTATAGCAGATGCTTTGTACAAGAGAGTAGAATAGAGAAGGGTATTTGGGAGAAACCTTGATCCGTTAAGTTTAGATATAGCACCGCATACTGTGTACTGTTCTTCAGTAATGGACAGAATTTTCAAGGGAGATTTTCCTGGGAACACAACGTAACGTTTCTGGCTAGGTGAAGAGTTGATGCGTTTTTGTTTTCAAGAAAAATAGTTTGCTGTGTGCTGAAGGACCCTTTTGAGGTGGTACTTTGAATCCAGTTGGCCCAAAAAGCAGTGAAGTGGGTCTAGTCAGTCTTGCTGCCTTGTAGTGGAGAACACTTGTGATTGGGCCAGCCCAGCAATATATCTCTGTAAGTAAGTTTAAAAAAATTATACTTTATTTCTGTTCATGTACATTGAAATAAAATTATTTTCATTCTAATGTTGGCTTTTGCATCCTTCCAAATAAGGTGGTCTAGGTGCTGTGGGGTGTTTTTTTAATTTTAATAAGGTCCATCAGAAAGTCACATGTTCTTTCTAGATTTCTAGGGAAGTACATGCAGTTCTGTCTAACAGTACAGCATCACTTTGAGAAGGCAATCAGCTTAAGATGTACACAGCTGCCTGTTAATCTACTAGAAGCATAAGGTAGACTTGCTTCAAGTTGATCTCCTTTTTTAATGCACAAGCTCTCTAAATGCACTGGGAAGTGCTCTTCTTTTTCTTCTTCTTCTCCAATCCAGTTGCATTAAATTTAATTTAGGAAACCAATGTTCCAACAGTATTTTTAAGAGTGCCTTAGCAGGACTCATCTCTGAGTCCTCATTATGTTGAATAGTCTGTGGAAATATAAAATCATGTCTAACGTAGTTGCGTGCTGTGTGGAAACACGTGGGCTTGTCAGGATTCCAGCACGGTGTGTTGTTAGAGGTTATTCAGTTCCATGTGTGAATAGCCCCATTACAAACTCAATGCAAATCCTAGTCAGAGTCTGTGGTTTCATGTCACTTAGAGCTGCTGATTTTTTTCTAGGTTAATCTTCAGTTGGACCTTTTTTTTTAATCTGGCTTGTAATATGGCCACATGCACTCCAGTGCCGATACAAGGAGTTTGCAGGAATGTGTGGTTTGAGTAAAAGGGGAAACTGAGACTGTACTAAGAAGTTTAAATTTATTTTGAAGTAGCAGCCTCATAGATCTGTCTGCTTCAAGTCTTTACTTTCATGTCTGCTTTCTGCATTTTCTGTCTTGAATGATTAAAACTCATTGAATGGTCCTCTTGGTAAGATCTCCATTCTTGATCTGCATATTTCTTTGAGATGAACAATCCAAATCCAAGAATCTTATTTTGGCTGAAACTTAAAAATTCTTTAAGAACTGGAAAATTCTTCTTCTTTGAGTAGTGAGGAACAAACTGTTCTTCTATGGTAAAGCTCAGTGATTTTGCAGTGCAGATTAAATAATGAAGTGTCCATGATAATAAGACCTGGGTCAGCAAGCTAGAAGTGTTAACAATACAGAGCACACCAACTCAAATGTCAGCTGTACAGACTTGAAAAGCACAAAGCTTAACTTCATCAACAATGATCTAGTGGCAGTATGGCTGATAGATAAGATGATTATACACAGTATCTAGAAAGGACGCAGGTTGCATGTGATTAATTGCTTACAGCAGATAGATCGTGTATGTAAGGACATGGCTAAATAAGGTTCCTGAGCCTAGACTAATCGCAAAATGGTACCTGGTCTGGCATGTGTTAGCCATGAAAGGGTATTATACAATAAAGAGATGAGAAATGTTCACGTATAGCTTTTGAAGTTACAGGGCTTATGCGTGAACTCAGCATGTAACTTTAGTAATGATTAGTGCTTAAGTCTGTGCTTGATGCTTGCATGAAGTAATCATTAAAGAAAGGCATGGAGACAATAATAACCAAACGATCTGTGTTGTTCGGCTCTTAATGCTAGTACTCGGCGCTGGTGAGGCCGCACCTGGAATACTGTGTCCAGTTTTGGGCTCCTCACTACAAGAAAGATTGAGGTGCTGGAGCGTGTCCAGAGAAGGGCAACGAAGCTGGTGAAGGGTCTGGAGCACAGGCCTTATGAGGAGCGGCTGAGGGAAGTGGGGTTGTTTAGCCTGGAGAAAAGGAGGCTGAGGGGAGACCTTATCGCTCTCTACAGCTACCTGAAAGGAGGCTGTAGTGCGGTGGGTGTTGGTGTCTTCTCACAAGTAGTTAGCGATAGGACAAGAGGAAATGGGCTTAAGCTGCGCCAGGGGAGGTTTAGATTGGATATTAGGAGAAATTTCTTCACGGAAAGGGTGGTCAAGCATTGGAACAGGCTGCCCAGAGAGGTGGTGGAGTCACCATCCCTGGAGGTGTTCAAAAAATGGGTAGATGTGGCACTTTGGGACATGGTTTAGTCTACCCTTAATTGGTTTAGTGTGGACTTGGTAATGTTAGGTTAATGGTTGGACTGGATGATCTTAAAGGTCTTTTCCAACCTAAATGATTCTATGATTCTATGACTATTTGGACATGACTGGGCACTCTTTGCTGATTGATCCTGCGTTATGCTTGTGATGGTCTGCTCAAGAAATCCACCTAGAAGTTAAGTGCTGAGATGAGCTTTGGGATTTGGGAAGTGTGAAGAAGTCTAGTCCCTGAAAGAGATGGGATGAGAAACAAACTGGAGAGGGCAACAACTAAGCAGCTGCTCTCAGACCCCATTAGTAGGTTGGATTGCCTGCAAGTGTAATAAGGGTCATTGAGGGAGGCCAACTCGAAAGGTGAATTGATGCTTTCCAGTCCTTGGTTCCAAGTAATCCACATTGTGCTATTTCCCAGCTAGAAATTCTGAAAAGAATACTTTTCTACAGGAATTTCTATAGAAAATTTGTGCTTTGAACAGTACGGTTTCTAAAACAAGCCCTTTTATCTTCCATGTAAGAGTAAAGCAATTGTCTTCAACCCAGTGTGAGGGATGCTGTCATCTTGTCTCTCTCTTGCGTGCGCACACACAAGCAAACGAGCACAAGCTGGTGCAGAAATAATACAGCTTTTGTACTCGTCGCATATTCAATAGCTGTGTATTCCACTTTTTTAAAGGAAAATTCTGTCAGTAGTGGATTGATCCATCAGTCTCTTTAGAACAGCTGTATATGCCAGTTTGAGAATGAGGGTTACACTCCAGAGTTTAAGGAAAGCCTCTCTAGGAATTGGAAGTGGAGGGTATTTGATGTTACAGTAGAATATTTTAGAACTGTTCTGAGGGGAGTGTTGCCCCTGAGCCCGTTTTAAAGGATAAATAGATAGATAGGTTCCACAACATTTGAGCAAATTACTGCTCTGAAGGTCTGCTCTGATCTTTTTTCTTGGATCATGCTTTGGAGCCTTCAGTATTAAGCCTGTCTAATACGATTGTGGTGATCCAAGACATTCCGGTCTACCAGATGCTCCTTGTCATCCATCCCCCCTGGAGAGCACCATTCTGTATCACATGCTGCAAAAGGGAACATGCCCATACCTTCTTCATCAATTTAAGCTAATGCATCAAACTGGCTGAAGTAATACGTAAGAGACCAAAGCATCACCCAAAAAACTCTTGTTCAAATTTGGTAGATTAATTTTAAGTGCATGTACACTGAGAGATATTTGATGCTCATTGATGGAAAGGGAGTAGTTAAGGAAACTTGCTTTTAGAGATCCCATGAGGTGCATATTCTAAGGCTACATTTTTTTGGATTAGCTATTACAACCGTGGCTTTTGCTGCCTAAAATAAACCACCAGTGATCCAGGAGCCATGTAGCTGTGTCAGCTCAGTGTTGAATCTGTGTTAATATACTTTGCCTTTTTGAACATGGCCTGTTCAGACATCATCTGCCTAGTGGTATGATTTCAACATGTGACTCATAAAAAAAGGTTTAAAAATTAACTTATCTGCTTCACAAACTGTGCAATCTCCAGTAACCATTGGCTTTTCCCAAGATGACGTTGTATGAAAATCAGGTGATTGTGATACACAAAAGCATATTCATTCCTTTCCTGATCTTCCTCCTAGCTAATCATTTCTTTTGTTAGGTGCTGCCCTAGAAAAAAGTCTGAAATTGTTTCCTGTTTGGTTTCAAAAATGTTGACAGTCCTCAGTGCTTTGTATCATGAATTCCAGGCACACAGAAATGCTCTTAATAGTTATCATTATTAATGGGTAAAGTTAATTATTAATGGGTGTTAGTTTGACATCCCTGTGAGTCATGAACGTCCTATCCTCATTTTGTATGAGGATCTTGTAAAATGAGACTAGCTCTACTGAAAGACCTAGGAACATCAGGAATTAGGTGCTCCAGTATCTAATTTCAGTCTCTTCCTGGAAACCAGATTTTGGGATTGGGTGTGTCAGTTTCCTCTCCAGCGGGTGGTGCCCCGGGGCAGGATCCAAGGCATCCAGAAGGCGCTGCCAAAGTGAGCAACTACAAAATGTTGTACCCAAGCATGGCATTCTTCTCCACCCTCGCTTCTGAAGCTTTGTGTAGCACAGTGTCAGGCTTGTGGGACTGGAAAGAGGGATCAAGAGAAAAAAGTGACTTTGTAGCTTATGGAT